AGTTACTTTTACATTAGGTCGAAATCAAGTTCTTTATATACATGTTCTTTACATATTAGCCCGAATTGGGCGATTCCACCCGGTTTGGGCGATTCCACCCAGTCTGGGATAATCGTCATTAATCTCTACTAAATAAAGTTAAATAAATATGAATGTGCTACGGATTAATTAAATAGACGGGACGTAATACGAATTCAGATGATAATAATTAATAAATAATTAGAATTAATAAAAAATAGAAATAAAATTTAATTTGACCCGAAATTAAAGGATTCGGCCAAATTATCTTCGTCATCGTTTAATTCTGGTAATAATAATAATAATAATAATTTTCTAAACCCAAACTATCTGCTAAACCAAGATTGTGTATTGTGAGATAGTAAATCTTGAACCTATCAATTGCCCGATTAATATTGACCAATTAGAATGAACTTGCTACGGAATTCATGTAATATGCTAAATATTACATCATGATTAATGGCCATCTTTCTATAGTTGGCTCAGTCTAAAGACCTCCTAAATTTTGGGCTAATTTTAAAGGTATAAAAGTCATTTTCTGTCCTATCTTTTAAAAAATTAGCTCTATTAGTTGATAGAATATGTATTTAGTTTTAATGTAATAAAGAGATTTTCTCAAAAAAATTATTTGTTGTAGAGTTCTATTCTTTTTTAAAACATGTACTTTACTATGCTCATGAGAAATTTGTGCGCTATGATCATTGCTAAATTTAGACTAGTTTTTGATCATTGTTACGAAATTTAGACTAATACTCGACCATCATATCTAAATTTGGCAGTAAGGAAAATAATTTTTTAGCCGAAACCCTTTTTTTAAAAAAATTTATTGCATTTTTGAATGAATCACGAAATCGCATTTTTTGAAATTTGTGTACGTGGCGCAGTAGTAGGAGTCTTTAGACCAAGTCAACCATAGATCCTTACTTGTAAATTTTTTTGTAATGTGTCATATGAAAAATCATTTGCAATAATGGATAATATCCTCTGCTTTCCACCCAACCCTCTTTTATTCTCATCAAGACTTTGCTTGAAACAACTCCAAAAGGTTTCTTTGCTATTGTAAGATGGTATGTACTTAAAAAACCAGATTTATATAAAAAATCAATATTATTTTTGTCAAATTTAGGATCAATGGCTTTAGTCCAAAACCTATACTGAAATGAAAAAAGCATAATGGACATCCTATAAGTACAATTAAAAGTAGATACATAACCATTCCCAGCTCCACATAATGCATTGTTATTTGAACTCCTTAGGCCACAAATAAATAAGTTGATATTATTTTCTATTTGAATTGAATATGGTCTAAATTCAATATTTAATAACAACTCTTGAACAACTTCATCCAATTCAAATCCTAAAACCTCAGCTCCAGATATTCTTCTTGTTGAATTAGGGTTAATATTTTGATACAACTTGGATACAGCATCGGTTGGATTTTTTTCAACTTCACTTGAAAGTTATTTACATTGACAACAATATCCTGGACAAAATTCATTATCTTTGTAACATTTTACAATATGCAATATATACTTTTTACCATTTAAGAAAAATTGTGTTTTCATTCCAATGCAAATTGGATGATAAAAACAAATATCACTTTTATTCACTTTTTTGGAGGTTTGCCACCACCAATCTTTTGCATGGATTCCATGATGTAAATCAAAGTCTATGATACCAGCAGATAATAATTGGACTGAAGTGGTCATTATTAAAATAATAATTTATTATTATATTTCTTAAAAAAAAAATGCGGGAAATGTTTTTTTTTAATATATTTTTTTTTTAAAAAAAAAGAAAATGTTTTTTTAATATATTTTCATGAGAAATGATTTTTTTCTTTAAAAAAAAATAATGGTCAATTTTGGATTTTGTGATCTCCTAAATTTTAATAATAATAATAATAAATAATGTTTAATATCCCGGATCTGTATATTAAAATTTCTATCGTTGATCAATTAAGCCTTAATTCCTCCATGATAACAATATCAACATAATGAAATTATAAAATTGTCTTAACTTCAAAACCATGATTTGTTTTTTTGGTCTTACATGGAGGAGTTAAGGGATCTACAAGAAAAGTTTGGCAATTAGGTGACTTGTACTGTATTCCGATTTTTAATTTATACATCACTTTAAAATATGTTAAACTCAAAACAATCCAAAAAATCTCAAATGTCGTCAAGATCTATCAATTTACATGAATTTAATTTTTAAAGACCAATTACAGACAGAATTAATTTCGATGTTCTTTGTGACATCGCAGGTGAGTTTGTTGATATCACCAAAGATATTTCGTATCTGTAGCATGTTTCACCAATTAAGTCGATCACTATAAAATTACCATTTTTAAAAAAAAAAAATGTTCCTCCTGTATATATCGAGATATCGAGAAAGAATCTATCCATCCCACGACTTTTAACAAGTCTTAAACCTTTTTTAGTTGAAAAAAAACATTTACAATGTCAGATCGTTTTGTGGAATTAACAGACATCCTAACCTTGTCCCAAGTATATAAAAAAGGTGGATTTGATTATCGGATCCCAGAAAGATTTAAACGTGAAAAAAATTTTTTTTATATTATTGTGGAATAATTATCATTTTCTTTAATAAAAAAAAAATAATGTACATTATATTTCAGATGATATAAGTTTTTCTCACAATAAAACTTTTAATGATAAGATATCTTTAATGTAAGTCAATTGATAATAATAAAAATCCTATAAAGAAAACTTATCAAGCTTTTGTATTTATACTTTAAAAAAAATTTTTATATATATAAAAGCAAAGAAGACATTACGAAATTGAAAATTGACTCAATTGGTTAGTGATTAGGAAATATGACCATATATCTATGTTTATTTATTTAATTGATAACATATTAATTGTTATTAACATTACCTGAACAACATTATAAAGAATATTTTACACTTTGTGTTTAAAATTGGTATGTAAAGAGCTCACTGATGACTTTTAAAAATTTTTTTAATAACTTTACAATATATGAATAGTTAATGCTGCAAATGAGTTTCTCATGGGAGGAGGAGGAGGTAAGAGATTGGGAAAATTCATCATAATTAAATATATGAATATCTTTTCAAGGCACTGACTGATTAAATGAATAATAAATTTTTTTAGTTGATGGGGCGATTCACAGGTGAACACTCAATTATAATATTTATTTTTAAAAACTTCATGTTATCATTAAAGCGTTTTCTCAAATAAGAGATGAAAATTTAGAGCTGCAGGGCCAGGATTAAGGGGTGAATGTCGGGAGTTGGGAGGTTGTCCAACTGGTGTATGTAAGATTTAAATGTTTAATATTAAAAGTATTTATAAGGTTTAGAAATTATTAACATTTTAAATGATAATTAATAATTAATAGGATGCTAAAATAACAAAAGGTAAATAAATGATTAATTGATATATATATATATATATATATATTTATAGGATAATTCATCTTATCTTACACGCACATTTATCTTTAGGTTATGATTTACCAGCAAAATGTATGTGTAGTTATTTAGATTGAAAATAACTGAAATTCTGAAGTTATTCTATACTTCCTATTTAATTATTCTACTAATTTAATGCTTAATTATTTAGATATTATTCATACTGTTGGGCCTGTAGGAGAACACGAAGAACTTCTCAATAGTGCTTATAGACGATCATTAGAAGTTATGATTGACAACAACCTTAAGAGTATAGTAAGTTTAAAATCACCATCATTCTCCATACTATTCAATCTACTAATAATACAATATATGTGTATGATTTAAAATTTAGGCATTTTCAAATATAAGCACAGGTTTGTTAAGTTACTACAAGTTTTTAATGTTTTATTTAATAAGTTGAGTCATATTTATAAGAAATTTTATTAAATATTGTATTAGGTGTTTATGGATATCCTCGTGTTGGTGCTGCACAAGTGGCTATGAAAACAATTAGAAAATGGATGGATGATTTTGAACATATTGAAAAGGTATAAATAATAATTCAGAATTTAATGAACTTTTTTTTTTGAAACTAGGATAAAAATTAACTGAGCTAGATATTTTTTTAATAGATTGATAGAATAATCTTTTGTGTTTTTGAGGAAAGTAATAGAAAAATATACGAGGGATTATTGCCTTTATACTTTCCACCACCACCTGAAGGTAGTGATAATGATGCTGATATATTAGAAAAACAAGAAAAAGAGAATGATGCTGGTACAGCAGAGAAACAAGAAGAGGTGAATGAAGCTGATACAGCGGAGAAACAAGAAAAGGTGAATGAAGCCGATACAGTGGAGAAACAAGAAAAGGAGAATGAAGCCGATACAGTGGAGAAACAAGAAAAGGAGAATGAAGCTGATAAAATGGAGGAACAAGAAAAGGAGAATGAAGCTGATACAATGGATGAACAAGAAAAAGAGAATGATGTTGATTCAGGAGAGGAACAAGAACAAAGTAACAAAGCTGATAAAATGGAGGAACAAGAACAAAGTAACAAAGATGATAAAATGGAGGAACAAGAACAAAGTAACAAAGATGATAAAATGGAGGAACAAGAACAAAGTAACAAAGATGATAAAATGGAGGAGGAACCAGAACAAAGTAACAAAGATGATAAAATGGAGGAGGAATCAGAACAAAGTAACAAGGTTGATACAGTGGAGAAACAACAAAAAGAGAATGAAACTATTAACGAAATTAAGCAAGAAAATGATGATGAAACTATTGAAAATAAACAAGAAGAAATTAAATCATGATCCACGAGTTAAGGAAAGGATTTAATTAATGCTGATCTGGGCAAATTTTTTAAATTTCATAGTAATAATAGTAATCAATTTTTCACATCCATAGAAAGTCATGCATTTATTATGTTACATAAAAAAATTTTATATCAAACTATCTAAATCAAAAGTAAAAACTATATTTATTTACAAAAACATGAACTGTTAATTTTGTCAGTTTTCTGTTATTTAATGAGCGGTCCCGGATTGTGGGTATAACATTCATACATTTAAATATATAAAATAATTAGAATGTGTCCCAGAAGAACAATATTATTAAGTGTAAATTTATTTCTTTAATAACCACAATGGTAGCTATTGACTTTATTTATTTTTACTGTGTTTATTTATATCCATAAAAAACTAACAGTAATTGTTACATATAATAATAGAGGGAAATTTATGATATTAATTTTAACAGGTTAATAAACTATCACGGGTCAAAACAGCTATATTTAAAACAAGAATTATTGAGGCGTGTAAAGTTGGTGTCTGCAACTAAGAAATTGCAATTTGGGATGTTTCAACCTAGGTTGCAACTGGTTGCAGAATTTCAAATCAGTTGCAGATACCAACTTTAGAGGCATGGCAGATTTATTCTTATTATTAAACGATAAACTGATTGTGTCACATGATTATAATATAAAATTGCAAAAAAATAAGTTTTATTTCTGCCAGTGATTACATGGGACCTACCTGATAATGAATGTTAAATCTGGGTGTCCATTTTTCTGGTAACTTTGTGATTATAATTTGAAACTATTGACTATTTTTTGGTAGGCTTATAAGGATTCGATCCAAGAACTTACATTGATTTTTTAAAATTTCTAAATATTTAGAAATTCATATAGTTCCAAGATTTGTTGAAATTTTTTATAATGGTTGTAATTTGATTTTAATGTTTGAATCATCAAGTTTAAAATGTTCATTATTAGAGAACTTGATTAGATCTGTTGTGGTATTTGCAACTTTTAAATTTGCTCTCTCTAAACATTCTAGTAAAATTATTTCATCAACTCATATTATTAGTGTTGAAAACGTCGAAAAAATTAGTGGTTAATTAATAATATTTATTATCTTAAATCTTTAATGGTTGAGTTGCTACTCGTTTAGTCACATCAAATGTATCTCTGGCCCAAACAGTTAATAAATATCTGCTGAAATCCTTTAATTATTAAATAAGTTTGACAGGTAACTAAAAATTTCCAGAAAAAAATAAATCTCATTTAGAAATGGTTGAAATGTTATTCTGATTTTTGATTTTTTTACGAAAAATTAAATGTCCTGTTTAGTAATCTTAGTGATGGTTAAGGATACCAATTACAACTTTTGATGGTGGTTGCAACCTAATTGCGACCAGATTTTTTAATTGCGGCAGATATCCTTGGTGGGGATTTTTTTGAAATATTCATTTTGATATTCTTCAAAAAAAGGCCTGGTGCATATAACAATTACACAAGAGATTATGAGTTCTGAAAATTATATAAATTCAATACTTCCAAAAAAAAAAAAGGATCCTGGGGCACCACCTTAAAACCTATTATTTTTACTAGCTATTTTTTAATAGTATAATAATATTATGTTAGAAAACAGAAATAAATGAAATCCATAACAATAAAGGCATCCATCATTCAAATTCTCAACCACTCCCAATCACTATAGTCTTTAACACGTTGGTGCTTTGCGCTTTTTTCAATTGGTCTTTCTCATCACATTAATGTGAGGTGTCACCATTACTATTAATAAATTTAAGTTAGTAACGAATCAATCCCGAATTGTTACGTTTTTTTGGTGGCAGGAAAGTATTTTCTTTACATTTTCAAAAAAAGGCATGGTGTTTAAACATTAACAACAAGTAAATTGATTCCAAATTATTATGAATCTTTACATTTTCGAAAGAAAGCTTGATTAATTGATTTTCTTCAC